CAATTAAATATCACAATGTGCATAAACTATTCAAGAGACAGCAAGGCATAAATAGAATAGAATAGTATAAAAAAAAATCCCTTTATTCTCCCACTATGGGGAAATTATGTTGTTACAGTAGCAAAAGAAAAGAAAAACACAAATAAAATACTGTAGTGAACAGTGTTTTTACAAATATAAAAACTGTGCATCTGGAGAATAAATAATAAATTTACAGCTGTGGACTTTTTTACTTTTACTTGGATGTGGGAAAATAGCAGAAATGCCAGAGATTTGCAAAAGTGACAGCAGCATGTTAATTAAGTGACTAAGACAAAAACTGTGCACAAATCAGCATCAATGTAAAAATTTATTGAGTTTGTTGGGAACAGTGATGGTTATAAGGTCTTACAGCTGCGCGTAGAAAGGATCTGTGATAACGCTCCCTGGTGCATTTAGGGTGCAGCCATCTGTCACTGAAGGAGCTTTCCAGTTCAGCATCAGCTTCATGCATGGGGTGGTAGATATTATCCAACAGAGATGTCATTTTAGTTAAGGGTCCTTTTGTTTCCCACCTCTTGCACTGTGTCCAGAGAGCATCCAATCACAAAGCTGGTCTTCCTGATCAGCTTATCCAGCCACTTCCTCTCAGCTACAGATAAGCCACAGCTCCAACAGACAGCTCCATAGAAGATGGCTAATGCCACCACAGAATCAAAGAAGGTTTTTGGAAGAAATACAACCGTCTAAAAGTGGTGTCAGCTGGAACAAAACATCTGGAAGAATAAATTAGTTTTTCATAGCAATTTGAGGTTGTGTGTTACTGAGCAGCTTGGTCACCCCTTAGCCTTTAATGTGGTATTGGGCTAGCCTAGAGCGTCTGGTTACTCCACCTTGGTGCTCTTACAGGCATGTGGATATGAAGAAGATGTGACAGGTGCAAGGGTCTCAGTCTATGTAAACCCTTGAAAGTAAGTTATCAAATTTTAATGTCACCCTGGAAACAAACAGGAACCTGATGAGCAAGAGAGAACTGGACAGAACAGAACATATTGTTTAGTTTAGGCCAACAAATTAGTTGGCTGTCGTATTCTGAAATAGATCTTAATATCCTACTAAAGCTGGGCATACACTGTACAATATTTTCAATCATTGTGCTCAGCTACAGCTCAAACTGTATGAGAAACTGCAGGGTTTAAAAGTTAACAACTCACGATGTATTTTCTTACACTGTACGGCCCGGCGCTCTGATGCGGTCTACCTGCTCACACTGTACGTCCAAATACCACATATTGGATTCAGCACTGAGAGATGGCGCTGGTCGGACTCTTAAATCTGGAAGAAAAACTCCATTATTTGCACATGCGCAGTGCATGAGGTTCTGGTACATCGGCTCGTAGCTCTGCTTCAACAGCAGGATCCACATACGAACAACTTACAAGGGCCGAGTGAATTTCAGACATCTTTGATTTTCTCCCGACCTTACGATTCCTGACGGGGAGGTGGTCGGGAGAGGCTGATTGGTCCTTGTTACCCCCTGTATACTACACGAAGCAGGATGCACGATGAGGCTCGACCTGATTGAAAAAGTTCTCCCATGACTGGAGAATCGGCCCGACACGGGCACAAAATCATACATTGTATGCCTGCCTTTACCTCATATTTGGGCTATTAATTTCTTTTTATGCAATTTCTACGTCGTTTGATGCTGAACAACTTCGGAAAAATACTTTTGTTTCCAAATAATAAGTACATTAGAAATGCGTAGTGATACTGAAGACAAGATAATATTGTGATGAATTGTTGATAATATTTATGGAAACATCTGTTTAGGATTATTTCATATTATGTTATTTATTATTGTTGGTTATTCTTAAAGTGTGTCTATTGCTGTTTTTTTTTTCGTTTCAGTTTCCCAACAAACATTTCTCATTGATTTACAGTGACCTGACCTATTTAAATCTGTTAACCAGCAGCCTCGGTCACTTTGATTAAGGTTTATTTTGTATCATATTTTGCTTTTTTGTAGTTGCCATTCTGCTTGAAAAGCAATGATTTATCTGGGGCCACTTTTAGTAAAGATGTATTTGTTAAATTATTAGCCCCAGTAGTAGCTAATTCTGCTAGCTAAAATTAAACTGAAAGCAATGTAATTGGTTGAAGTGGTCATTTTTTTGCTTCACTTTTTTAGTAGCAGAGAAACCATCTGGTCTGAGCTATGATCCTCATCAAAATCTGGCCAAAAGACTGCTTTTTTTTTTTTCTTTGTCCATTTGAACCTTTGAGGGGAATTATATTATACACCAAAATAAAATATTTTACTAGGATGCAATCAAACTAATGGTAACAACATATTTAAAATCATGTGCCGTAACCTTATTGAAAGAGTGTCTAAAAGAATAAAAATAGTCATAGGATATATTGTAAAATTTCATGAATTAAAACTAAAATTGTAAGAAAAAATAAATAAAAATTCTGCAGAGCAGATGTCATATTTTAAACGAGCAAATGGGTTGGAATTAATGCAATCCACAACATCTTCTGACTACCGGTTTAGTTAGAACTGAATAGAGGTTTACAAACAATGGCTCGATATGGCCTCAGGAGGTCCATACGGATGGAAGTAGAATTACAAACAGGAAATAGATTTATGAAGATCAGTAATGCAAACACAAAACTCTAAAATCAAAAACAGACTTCTTCAAATATCTCATTCTGTTTGCCTTAAACTGTTTCAGTAGTGTACAAATCCTGGGTCATCCATGACAAGCCATTATACGCAGGAGGGGGGGCTCACATTTGAGCTGACACCAAATATAATGTAGCCATCCCTTGTTTCATGAGACAGACAAAACAACTCACAAGGTATAGTTGGGAACATATGTGGATGATCAGGAAACAATGACGACCCAAAGATTGAGCTGAATAGAGGGAGGCCCACTTACGTATAGGTAGGTCCTGAATGCCCTATTTTAACCTTAATTGAGCAAATAGTTAAGTGTGATAGCTCTGACTACACGTTACAGTATGCCTGCTACTTCCAAATAATTCAGGACTGATGATAACTTTTGGACAAGAGATTAAATATCTCCAAAAAACAAGAAAGAAGTCATGTTGCCTTCAGCTAAATCATTGACCAAAATGTAACGTCCTGTCAGACCGAGCTTCTAAAGCAGTGTCAATCTGTGAATAAAACAGTGTTGAATGGTTGAAATGAAAGTGCAGAGCTTGAGTTAACTAGCAATTCAGTGGAGCCCTCTTTCAGCAGACACTGAGATATTTGCTCGCTTTCCAACTAGTTTCATGTTAATTGGAGAGAAACAGAAAACTAGGCTGAAGTTCCTGTTCTACTGCTCTTATTAGGCGACTAATTGGTGCCATAATTAATCAGAACGCCCCAAAGAGAAATAGAAATTCTTTCACGCTCATTGTCCTGTCCTAGAAATAGTACTCCAATTTTTTTTTTATTATTATTATTCATCCCTTCGGCAGGCAGACACTTCTTTGGCCCTGATTAATTCCCAGGACTTTTTTCAATTAATTATTTCATAAAATGCAAATTTTACTTAATTGCTGTTGCTGCACAGCAGATTGTCTTAAATTGTCTTGTACTATATCCGATGATTAAATGTTATAATGTTGCAATGGATGCTATCACCTGATTTATATGAGTTACATTTAATGAGGGATTAATGTAACAGTCTTTAGCTGAAGCTTTTTCACCCAAAAGCTTTGAGGACAAATACTGGATCACATCTCTTTTATTTTCTTAAAAAACAACATTAAACCACAACGCGTTTCAGAAAAAAAGCTTTGAGCTTCAACCAGCATATGGCAGCCGACCAGCAGCACCAAACAGAAACCTGAATCCACTGTCCTAGACAAACTGATAATAATTTGATGCTGGTGTGCTAAAATAATTGATATTTCCTTATTTGGGAAACCAATTCCAAAGTATGACTTCACAAGATGCTCCACATTCCTCATTTTAAGGAAGAAAGTTATTCTTGTAAGAGTTTTCATAAAATACAACTTTATTCTCGTAATATTAGGACTTTATTCTTGTAATTTTACAAATTTTTATTCTCGTATTAAAAAATAAAAATAAAAAATCTCTAGCCTGGTACTAATAATCCATCATACGATATAGAAGATTAAAAAGAAAAGTAGTTTTAATTTTTGTGTCAAATTATTTGTCTTTTCACAGACAGAAAAGAATGAAGTTTGTTTTAAGAATCTTTAATCAGGTTAAAATATTCTAGATTTCGATTTTCACTGGCGAAAAAAAGTTCAATTCAAAGTAATTTACTTGCTGTGGCATTTGGTCATATTCACCCAGGCGGCGTGTGCTACTCACTGATTTGACAAGAAGATGTTACCCTGGATGGTGAGCCATGTAAATGCAAACACCCCCATATTCATCTGAGTAACATCATATTTGTTATTTAGAAAAAAAAAATGTAACTGAAAAATGTTCAGGTGACAAATGGCTGTAGGAGAATAAATTCAGACCTGACTGTGGCCCTTCACTGTTTTCATGCAGGCTCATATTAAAGCCAAAGCTGACGTAAAGCAAAACCTCGAAATTTAATTTTGTGAATTTGGAAATCATTTTTTTTTTTAATAGTGGATTTGGTAAAAACATTTCACTTGTTTTTGTTTCAGCTTTTTTTTTTTTTTTTGCTCTTTTGCTGTCGTTTTTGTTTTGTTTTTCATTCATTTTCACACAGTTTGTTTCCAAAATGTCAAGCCTGCAAAGCTTGAAAACACTCTCATATAGCTTAAAGATTTTATTTTTTGTTATCATAAAGGTGTAATTATTTGCTTTCCTCACAATCCAGCCAGCAGTCTGCCTCCTCATGTGAATGTGGGGTTTTATCCCTGACTATAAGGCTTTTCGATTTCAGTTTGGTTTACAATAGCTGACAGTTAAGTACTTATGGATTCAAACCAAACTGATTCCAAAGAAAAGACCAGACCAAGTGTGTGATTTTGTTTGTGTTTTATGTGTTTGTTTTCAGCTGGAGTACACTGCCCGGCTGGACTTCCTGTGGCGTGTCCAGGCGAAAGAGGAGATCAACGAGATGAAGGAGCTGCGAGAACACAACGAGAACATGCTGAGGAACATCCTGCCCAGCCACGTGGCCCGGCACTTCCTGGAGAAGGACCGGGACAACGAGGTCTGAACAAAACACACACACACATAAAAAGAGTAAATGAATAAAACCATAAAAATGACATCAAGCAACTGGAATTATATATTCATTTGTTTTTCCAGCACCTTTTCTGTTGGAAAACGAAAGTCTTGTAACCTTGTTAAATGTCTTTTATGCATAAATGCATATCAATTATTATTTTTATTTTTTCGTTAAAAACTACCAATTAGTGCCGTTCAACCTTTTAAAAGTGTTTTCTACCTCATTAAAACATGGGAGGACATGTGAATATTAATATTGGAACATGGCCTCTTTTTTTCCCATGCAGTACATCTTTCAAAGCTGTGTTGTTTTGAAAGGTTAGCCTAGATTTCTTCTTCTCACAGCGTCAATGGTGATGGATGCTAAACTTTGATTAGGTCATAGCAAGAGCTTGATTTTTTTTCTTAAATTTTGCAAAAGATTTGTTGCTGTTTGGAATCACTGTACAGCTAATGACCCAGTTTGGGCCAAGTTTCAGCTTTGAGAACAATATCTTGTTATGAAAAACCAGAAAAAAAACACACCTGTCATTGTGCTTGAGAGTCAGTATGAGATGTTTTACCTTTTTTTAAGCTCTTTTGGATTTCTCCAAACATGGTGCTGTGCATCAAAGCCAAACATACAGTATCTGGTGTGGTTCCATTTGGCCTAAAGCAGCACCTTATTGTCTGTTTTGATGAAGCTTTTCCATAAAGCGGTTAAAGAGAAAATATGTTTTCCCATTCAGAACTTCTGTCTTCTTTCTAATTGTCTTACCATTTATTTTAATATTTAACCTCCCATCCAAGTGACCACATGCTAACAGTAGGAGATAAGTTTGAGGTATTTGGGTTTTTTTGGGGTCACTTCCCTTTTTTGTACATGCACCAACTTCTGGGGAAAATCCCTGATTGATGGGCACCAACCATGGGCGTAGGTTTGCATAGGGACCATAGGGACATGTCCCTACCAAAATTTTGAACCGACCTAATTGTCCCGACCAATAATTGGATGTGAGCAACATGTTTATGATTTACAGCAGTAGTTGTTACAGCAGTGGCTTCTTTTCCTCTCGCAGCTCCTCTGCCTGGTCTCTACTGTCCCTTTCATGTAGCAGCGCATGGAACTGTGCTGCGCTGTTTAACTCCACTCTCATTGGTTGTTCTGCCTTAAGTTCCGCCTTCTCTCTCTCTGATTGGCTGTTTTCTAGTCTGCGTGTGCTTGGAGCACAAAATTGAAAATTTATTCACACTAGAATGCCGCGGTTACTACAATTAATATTAGGCTACAAAACTAGTCCCAATAAAAAAAAAAAGGAATATTATGTACACTAAAAAACAAAAGCCTTTTTTTTCTGTTATAAAACGAAATATTCTGAGTTAGCCAGGAGTTCTGAAGACTGCTGGAAAAATGGGCAAATAAAGGCTGTAAGCCATCAACATTTCTGATTCTTAGCCACAGCCAAATAAAAAGGAAAATGTGAAGTTTCCTTTTTGCCTATATCTAGTTGCTATTACTGTTTTCATTTTTTGATGACTCTTTCAGGAAGTTCAGGTATAATTATTAGCAGGTGTTATTTTTCTTATAGAGTATAACAACAAGAAATGGTGCCTATACATCTGCTATTTTTAGTTTAAAAAGCATAATTAGGGTTCCACATAATAATAGTAATTTAATTGACTATTTATACTTCTAGAAATAGGATAAAGACAAGAACAAACAGAGGAAGAATATTAATATTGATTTTATCTTATATAGATTTCCACACATTCTATAAGTAAATTAGTACAAACATTAATGTCTGGTAAAAATGCTTGAATCTGGCTGTTTATTTTGGATATTATTACATTCCAGATAAGATAGTGTTATATTGTCTTTTATAATTGCTAAAAGTGATTTTATATTTGAATACACTCATTCTACGACTAATTCTTAGTGTTGTGTTTGTAGAAGATGCCACTAAAAAAGAAAATAGACATAAGGAGCTATTTAAACAGTCAGACAGTAAGCAATATAGGACGATGATAAAAGGTTGTGTTTCATTTAATCCTTTACTATTAAAAATGCACTTATACATTATATGATTATAGGAAACACAGATATCCAGTAATAATGATGCAGGGCAGCTTGTAGGTGAAGCAGCTGCCCTTCAGTGCTTCAGGTGATGTCTAAATAAACCAGGTGAAACTAAAATATTTCCTCTTGGGGAATTCTGCATGGAGAATATTGACAGACAAACATTTTTTTTTTATCATATACATATATATATATATATATATATATATATATATATATATATATATATATATATATATATATATATATATATATATATATATATATATATATATATATATATATATATATATATATATATATATATCAGTGGCGGCTGGTGAAAAATATTTTTGGTGGGGCTGATATAGCCTAGTGTATGTCTCCAACTAATCCGGAATAAGAATTTGATTAAACAATTGGACAATACATACAATTTAACAGTAATGATTTAATTTACTATATAATAACAGTAACAGTGATGATTTTGGTCACTGTGACGGGGTTCTTTGGCCTCCAAGAATCCAGGCTCAGTCGGGTTACCGGTGTTGGTGATTTATTGAGCTCAAAAACTCAAAACAGGGTGCAAAAGAAACTAAACATATACCAGATACTCTGGGCCTCAGCCTCCCTCCAGTTACCAGCAATGTAACAAAGAAACAGACAACAAAAATTGCCGCTTTTCTTCCCACAGCCCTCATTAAATAGTTTAAGCCCCTCACCTCAGGCTCTCTTATTTCTGATTTCTTCTCATTAATCAGTTTTGTCCATATATTACCTCCACAAACAATTGATGTACAAAAACAAATAATTTTTACAACTTAATTCTTTTACACAGATTCATTGACTTATTCAATTACACCAAACTGGATTTGAACCCAGCAAAGATGCAGCCAGACTGAAGATGACAAGTCCCCATAGCATAAACACGTACACACACACACCCACCACACATACACACACACACACACACACACCCCACACACCCACACACACACACGACTAACCCCACTGAAATATTAAGTGTGCACCCTCAATACGCCAGCAGGTAACCAGGAACAGCTTGTGTGTTTTAAGTTCATGGAGCTACTGGTCTCAGCGCGAGTGTATTGGTCCTCACAAACACAGTATAACAGGAATGTGTGTGTGGCGCGCAAAGTTAGAGAGGTTGTTTTAAGCGACGAGGTGGATTCGTCACAGTCACAATAACCATGACATGAAATGTTCATATCCTACAACAGGGATGTTCTTCTGGCAAACGGGTAGATAAATAAGGATCTCACCGAATTTGCTGGAAGCTGCATCTCGCTCGTTACATTCGCCATCTTCCCTCTAATTGTCTGCACCTGCGCTTGGGTGCAGAAGCCTGTTAAAGCGCAGTATTTTCAGAGCCCCAAGACCATAAAGTTCCGAGACGCTGATTGGCCATTAAATTCACCTAGCAAAAGTACATGATTGACAGATTCTCTGCAAATGTGGGGCTGTCTGATAGGCGCCCCCAGAACAGAGACGGTAGGAGTCTGTCTGTGGAAATCCACAAATTAATGACAGTAGATAGGGAAATGTAGTTTATATAATTTGTTTTGCTTATAGGTACACAGTCTAGAGAGTAAAACTGACATTTATGATTTAATTTCTAAAAATATATTTTACGTTTCTCTCTTCTTATCAGGGAGGGCGGTGCCCCAGCGCCCCCTATGGCCCGGCCGCCACTGATATATATATATATATATATATATATATATATATATATATATATATATATATATATATATATATATATATATATATATTGTATTTTTACAATTTTGGTATAATTACTGATCTAAGTGGGTTGCTCTGTCGGGGAAAGGCACATTTTACATTTATATTACTGTATGTTTTAAAGTCTCTATACTCCAGTTAATGATAAATTACATACTAAATTAGTTGATAATTATTGAAATAATCAATTAATACATTTAATTTTTTTCAGCCCCAGATAAAATACATGAAATGGGCTACACAGAGTAACTACAGCCCAGATGTTCAACTTTTATAGTGAAGTTAATATTTTAATGAATGTATTATATTGCTGGATACAGAGAGAGCATAGTAGGTAAAATATAAGAGTGGGGTTTAACTCTGCACAATTCTATATCTTCAAAGGAAAATCCTGTATTTACCTTCTCTCTTAGTCGTTCAAATGATTTTCAAAGTGGAAAAAAGTCCTAATTCATTAGAGCCGGTGATACCTCAAACATTGATAAACAGCATCTAATGAGTGTAGTGCTTATACAATTTTTATTAATGTAGCAAAAGGATGCTTTTCTCTTTTAACAATGAATTCCTCTTATCAGTACGGATGCTCACATCGAGCATAAAAAAGGGCATGAATATTGCATAGCACCAATGACACCCGACCAATAGTGTCCCTACCAAAGTTCAAATCAAACCTACGCCCTTGGCACCAACGCTTCTGTGAGGTCACTACTAGCCACTGAAGCTCCAGCTTTTACAGAGCTGACCGTGCAGTGAATAAATGCAGCTGAAGGATTCACTGGTTTTGAAAATATGGGCTGAACTCCCTGTTGCTTCCCAGGTTTTCCTGTTCTGTTCTAGATAACAGATTATTTACATCCGAATATGACCCCCTCCATCCTCTGGTCGGCCTTATGAAAGGTAGCAACAGCTGAGGTTTAATTTGTATTAATACACCGGTTACAGACCAGATGTCAAGGACTGAGAGGAAGTATACTTTATTTTTAATGTGAGTTTATTTGGAGTTTTATTATTTTAATTGGAGAACGTTAATGGCCATAGTAGTGCTTTTTTAACTTTGGTTGTTTTCACACCCCCAGGTTTAGGTCGATTTGATCTAAATTTGATCCCATTTAGTGGGGAGTGGTGGCCTAGTGGTTAGGGCATAGAGTTTGGAAACCTGAGCTTCTGGGTTTCAGCCCCAATCC